AAAACTCTTTTAACTTAGATTTTAGAAAACCATTTTTCTTGGAAAAATCTTTTAAATCCCTTGATTTGAGTTCAGACACCCCGAAGGTGTGTCCGAATCCCTCAAACCAGGGCTCTGATACCAATTTGTAACATCCCAAATTTCGAGTCCAAAAATTTCATTTTAATTAACGGATTATAAAACATTCATAAGAAAACTATGTAACAATATATCATTTTGTGAATCAATGTATCATGTCTGAAACCCAAAACATATAATAGCAACATATCAGAGTACAATCCCATAATATCTCAAGTGCGGAAAATCAACGCGTGTGTGTATGAAGTGCCGCTACCGCGCCAACTCTTTCCCCTTCGCTGAAGAGGTACCTGAAACCAAAACTGTAAACTGTAAGCACGAAGCTTAGTGAGTTCCCCCATCGCACCACACATACACAATACATACTGTCAGACAGTTATGGGGTGCCTGACTACCCAAGTCAAGCCATTCTGGGGTGCTTGACTTACCCGTCGGTCTGTTTCACCCGACTACCCCGGGGACTATTTCACCCCTACCACTACCACAAAACACACATATACTGCCAGACAATTCTGGGGTGCCTGACTACCCAGGTCAAGCCATTCTGGGGTGCTTGACTTACCCGTCGGTCCTTACGACCGACATCCGAGGACTATTTCACCTCCTACTACTACCACATAATATCATGAACATACTGTCAGGCAATTATGGGGTGCCCGACCTACCCTTCGGTCTTAACGACCGAACTTGGGGACTATTCTCCCCCTACTAACACTATCACATATAACATATAACATATCATGCTAACACATAAACATATCAGGTAGTAGCAACCCTAGATGAATGTCACAAAGACAATCATCTAACATACAACTCCTACTGGTGGGCCGACATTGTGGCCGTAGACCCACCGCTACTGAAAGGTAACTCACCTCAAACGAGTAGCTGCTGATAATCTGTGCGGGGAATCCCTGACTGCTGCTGCTCCGGAAATCCTCCGGCTATAAATTCCCACAAAACACTTCATCAGAATCTGATATCTACCCCTTAGGGTAAAATGACTATTTTACCCCAGACCAAGTCCAAGTCAAAGTCAATGTCAACTTCCAGTTGACCCGACTCGCCGAGTTGGGTCGTCAACTCGTCGAGTCCCTATTTCTTTAACTGTCCTCCTCCACGTACCTACTCGTCGAGTTTAGCATCGACTCGACGAGTTCTCCTTCTAACACAACCTCGGATGAACCTTCTTCCGACTCGCCGAGCGGTATGAACACTCGTCGAGTCCATCTTCATCCTAAGAACACGTCCTGTCCTCGACTTGCCGAGTTGTATGAACAACTCGTCGAGTTCATCTTCAAGAGTTGGGAGATTGCCTTGGACTCGCTGAGTCTGCTCGTGCACTCGTCGAGTCCTATGAACTCCAGGACTATGGCTTATCCCAATAAGTTTGGGTCACTCCCTTGGACCCTCTAAAACCTTTCTTTCACTCAACTGGTTCCCATGAACCATAACAGAAAAAGAGGAGTCTAACCTTGGACACGCCGAGTCCCAAGAACGACTCGCCGAGTCGATGCAGTCCAAGTCTTATTTCTTCGATTTCTGGAGTGCAACTCTTGTCCAAATGATAGATCTAGGTCCCTAAACTCAATCTAGCACGTAAAGTTACAAACTTTACGTGCATGCATGAGACTTTGAGCCTAAAATGCCCAAAAAGGAGCTCTTAAGATGCATGAGACCTTCCATGGGTGCAAAAGCAACCCCTAACTGCCTTGTGACCCTTCCATGGACCTAGATCCGAAGCTTCAACCCCTAACCATGCTTGTAATCATGGTTGGTTACCAAGAATGGCTTATAAAAGCCCTAAATCTCCCCAAAAAGGGATCTAACAAAAAAACAAGCAAGGTATAGACTTTATTCGACTCGACGAGTCCCATACTTAAACCCCGCGTTCTATCCTGCTTTTACTCGGCGAGTTGGGCCATCAACTCGCCGAGTCCCAGGCCAAAAATGTAAAATTACATAAATGAAATACATACCAGGAAGCAGGTGCTACAAATAGGATTTAGAGCCAATAATGGTTTAAATCCAAATATTCATAAAATATAGAAAAAACATTAAAGAAAAAAACCATGATTCTCATATATAAGGGGAAACCCCACATCAAGTCAAGAATCAAAACTATAAAAAAGGATTGACATTTATTTATAATCTACCGAATGGTACCAATACAAGTGGTTTTTGTTATAATAGCTCAAACATCCTATAACCCGGCTAGGAGTCTTACATACAAGTATATTATCGAAACTTTTATAAATTCAATTTAGTTTTCATTGCATTTTTCATATGCTTAACTTTTATGATACGTAATAGGTCTATAAAAAGGCAAGCAAATGGAGAAACAAGACATTTTCCTCATTATGATGATTTGTGCATTGGTTTTGGAAATGATAGGGCTTAAGGAAATAAAGCCAAAGATTCTATCTAAATGGAAGAAGATGCAAACATTGAAGAATTAAGATAATTTTGACAAAACAATATAAGTAAGCCAAAATGCATAAACTACACAAAACAAAGAATGTATAAGCACACGTTCAAAGGAAGAGAAAAAATACAGTTGATCACGTTGGTGAGGTAATCATTGTTACAACTAACGTGCTTGGAAAAAAATATGGAAAAAGTGGCAAACATCATGAGTCAAGCTATACTAAGAGAAACATATTGTGCAAAAGAAAGCTTCTATAGTGATTCTTTAAATTTCCAAAATGCAGTAATTGAGTGTGCTAGATAGGTCAAAACAAATCGAAAAAAATATGTGATATAGAATCAGTGTTAAGTTTTTGAAATTTAGAAGGAAAAGATTCTATCTAAATGGAAGAAGATGCAAACATTGAAGAATTAAGATAATTTTGACAAAACAATATAAGTAAGCCAAAATGCATAAACTACACAAAACGAAGAATGTATAAGCACACGTTCAAAGGAAGAGAAAAAATACAGTTGATCACGTTGGTGAGGTAATCATTGTTGCAACTAATGTGCTTGGAAAAAAATATGGAAAGAGTGGCAAACATCATGAGTCAAGCTATACTAAGAGAAACATATTGTACAAAAGAAAGCTTCTATAATGATTCTTTAAATTTCCAAAATGCAGTAATTGAGTGTGCTGGATAGGTTAAAACAAATCGAAAAAAAATATGTGATATAAAATCCGTGTCAAGTTTTTGAAATTTAGAAGGAAAAGATTCGAAAGAATTTTGTGAACTTTATGTTGCAAAAATGAAATAAACATCAACTACATAACTAGGTATTTTTTTACTTATTCATGTGTGACTATCTTTTTGAAAAATTAGTTTGACAATAACAAATAAACTTGGTTGCTTTATATTATTATAATTAGTCATTTGGTAATATTAAAAATTGGTAATATTAAAAAGTTGTTATGATTTGTAGTCATGTGATCAAATAATATGTTGATTATTTGTGTAATTTATATTTGTTAGGAAAGTTTAATTTTGTTTAAATAAAATTTTAATATTTTTTATAAAAAAACATTAACCTATAAAATTTATTTTTCAATTCTTTTGACAAATTTATTAACCAAAGAGAAAACATTTATATATATATATATATATATATATATATATATATATATATATAGGGAAGAGTTATTTGGAAAACAAAAAAACCCTAAAAATCATAAAAATGCATAAAAAAAATACCTAGAGATCACAAAACTTTTTTTTGACATTCTTTATGAAAAAATCGCAGGTTTTTAAAGAAATTCGCTGAAAAAAATTTTGAAATTTTTTTTTTTTATAAATAAAAAAAACTGATTTTTTTTTCAGCGAATTTTAATAAAAACATACGATTTTTTATAAAAAAAATTCAAAAAAAGTTTTGTGATCTCTAAGTATTTTTTTATGCCTTTTTAGGGTTTTTTGTTTTCCATAAAACCTAAACCCTTATATATATATATATCTATATATCTATATATATATATATATATATATATATATATATATATTAAAGCGTGAATTTCAATAGTAACATTTTCTAACTCATAATTTATCCACTAACTTTTTCTAATTCATAATTTAGCCACTTCATTTTTACTTATTTATATTTTTGCTACTAAATTTTTATTTTTATTTCTTTACACTGATTCTTTATATTACTGTCACTAAACTTTGACATTTTACAATGTTTGAACAATAACCTTCTTCATTTTTTACTTTACTTCCATGTTTTTTATATTTTTCCAAAAGTGCTTAAAACTTTTTAATATTCAGACTTTTACCACATGTTTTCTAAAAAGTTGTTAAATTCAACTCATTTTTTTTTATATTTTTTTCATTTTCGTCTGCCATATTCTTCTGCCTTTTATTTTTTTTTTTCTAAAAAGATTTATTTGTGACTTTTATCGTATGTTTTTTACATTTTCCCAAAAATGCTTCGTTTTTTTAATCCATTTATAGTTTAGCCTCCCATTTTCCAACATTCTTCTATTTTGATATTTTTTCCATCTATTATCAACCCGAACTTTTTAACATTCAAACTTCCGTCACATGTTTTCTAAAAAGTTGCTAAATTCAACATCTTTTCCTTTATTCTTTGTCATTTTCGCCTAACATATTTTTCTGTCCTTTATTTTTTTCCAAAAAGAATGACCCGTGCAACGCACGGATCTTTTCCTAGTTCAATATCAAATTTCATGTCAACAAAGAGCATATCAAATTCCATTTCCTTTGGTTCCAATTTTTCATTATCCAATTCCTTTCAAAAACATTTTGTAAGCCAAACATCTCCGTACTTTATTTAAACCAAAAAGCTAAAAACAATATTAATAAACTAAATCCGAACAATTGTACATAGTTAAAGGACTAAAGTTGTAGTTCTTCCATTCTATTCTACCGTATTGAATTCCCGCTCAAGATTTTGGGAAATTTGAACCCCTCAGTTGCTCTAAATTATATGCGCCCAAATACTTTATCATATTTCGCTTTGCCATTTTGAAATTCCGAACAGATCCACCACACAGAATCATCGGAGAAATCTCTCAGCAGGGAGTGAAAAGGGGCGAGAATCCGCTTGAAGTTGGAAGAAAACCTTGAAATTGTGAAGGGAATTGATTATTTTAGCAAAATATGGGGAAAGTTATGGATAACGACCGTGAGTTCATGTCTACAGATCCCAAGTCAACTCCGGGGAAAAAACCGCCATCAACTCCACGGCTTTTCATCAAAGAGATGGTTATGCAGAATTTCAAATCTTACGCCGGCGCACAACGAGTTGGGCCCTTTCATAAGGTTAGGGTTTTTTTTTTTACTAAACCCCTTTGGTATACTGAAAATTCCCGATCTTCTTTCTAGGGTTTAGTAGTTCATTGGTTTTGACTTCATTTGACATTCCTGAACAGAGCTTTACCGCTGTAGTTGGTCCTAATGGTAGTGGGAAGAGTAACGTGATTGATGCTATGTTGTTCGTATTTGGCAAGCGAGCTAAGCAGGTAACACTTTATTCGATTCTAACCACACTTGTTAATCGGCTTATACCGATATTTTGTTAACCAAAATTAGCGTTTCTTTTCACTAAAATGGTGCAGATGCGTCTTAACAAAGTGTCGGAGCTTATTCACAATTCAACCAACCACCAAAATCTCAACAGTGCACGTGTATCTGTTCACTTTCAAGAAATCATTGATTTGGTATGTATAAAGTTTCTCTTCAAGCTTAATACAGTGTGCTTTGAGCAGATGCTGAATGTATTGTTTACTTTTGTTGATTATAGGAAGATGAAACATATGAAGCTGTTCCAGGAAGTGATTTTGTTATAGCTCGTGAAGCTTTTCGAGATAACTCTTCTAAGTATTATATTAATGGACGTGACAGTAAGTTTACAGAAGTTACCAAGAAACTAAAAGGGAAAGGAGTTGACTTAGACAATAATCGATTTCTGATTCTTCAGGTTTTGGACTTCAAGAAACTAAATTCCGTCTTTTTCATCTGTTTATTACTTTATTATAAGTTTTGAATTACAATTTGCCGTATTTTTTCAGGGTGAGGTTGAACAAATTTCACTTATGAAACCAAAAGCTCAAGGTCCACATGATGAAGGGTTTCTTGAGTACCTAGAAGATATCATTGGGACCAACAAATACTTAGAAAAAATTGAGGAGTCTCATAAACAGTATGTTCTTAACTGTATCTATATGGCATTGATTTTTGATAAATCTTTTTGAATGTTGTCATGTTTCTTGATGCCCTTGTGTTCTTTTTTTTGTCTATTAGGCTTGAAGCTTTGAATGAAAAGAGATCTGGAGTGGTGCAGATGGTTAAGTTAGCTGATAAAGAAAGAGAAAACCTAGAGGTTATAACTTATAACATGTTTGTTAGATTATATACTTAAGCACCAACTTTCATTACTAATAATTAATTAACATGATATATACTTTCAGAGTGTGAAAAATGAAGCAGAAGATTACATGCTTAAGGAGTTATCTTTGTTAAAGTGGCAAGAAAGAGGAGTAAAGTTTGCTTCTGAGGAGAATGCTACAAAAATGGAAGAAATTCAAAAGAACACATCCGAGCTTCAACAAAATATAACATCTGAAAGGTGATTGTTGTTTTAACAATGGTTTTAAACGTCTTTTGATATAATTTATGAAATACATAATGAAAAGATGATTCTTTATTCTCATAGGGAGAAGATTCAGGAAAGCAAAAACTCTTTGAAGGAGCTTGAGACACAGCATAACAAGTTTTTAAAGAGACAAGAGGTTTGCTTGAGTACTTTATTTATCTCCAGAAGCTTCTTTACATATGTATTGCAAGAAAGAACATAAATATATTTTTTACTTTACTTTTCTTTGCATTGCTTTAAAGGAACTTGACAATGAGCTTAAAAGGTGCAAAGATGAATTCAAGGAATTTGAGAGACAAGATGTGAAACATCGAGAAGATTTAAAACATGTGAAAACAAAGATCAAGAAAACAGAAGAAAAAGTTGAAAAGGTAAGATATATGTCATCTGCATATGTGCATTAAATTAATAAAATATAACATAAATACATAATCTCTCTTTTGTTCATTAGGATTCAGCAAAGATTACAGATATCACAAGGCAATCTGAAGAGTCAACTAATCTAATCCCCAAACTAGAGGAAGATATTCCTAAACTGCAAAAGAGTTTGGTGAATGAAGAAAAGATATTGGAGGAAATTATGGAAAGCTCCAAAGGTATATAATATAGATTATACTATTATAGAAACATGGTTTAGTATAAAGTTTTGTTTTGATATGTATTTATTTATTTATTTATTGTTTTTTTAATAGTTGAAACTGAGAAATTCAGAGAAGAAGTTGCAAAGGTTCGTGCTGAACTAAAGCCTTGGGAAAAAGAACTGATTGAGCATCAAGGAAAGCTTGAAGTGGCATCTACAGAAAAGAAACTTTTGTCTGAGAAGGTGAGGGGTATTTTTGGGATTTCAATTCTTTAAATTAGGATATCCGTTATAATGGTTTAATGACATAGTATTACAAGTAACAAATATTACATTTGAATCATTAAAAAGTTTTGAAATCCGAAATAGATTTGAAACATGAAGATTTAATTTATATGTATATGATTAATAATTATTAATATTAATTTCAATTTGTGAATATTTTAGCATGAAGCTGGACGTGTGGCATATTTGGATGCTCAAAAACAATTGGATGATATACAAAAGAAAGTTGAAACAAAGACTTCAAGCATAAAAGATATGCAAACCAAATTAGAAAAAAACAAACTTGATTCATCAAAAGCCCATAAAGTAGAACAAGTAAGTTCATTTCCTTTTCTCTTTTTCATATTTCCAACTCTACCCTTGTTGTGAAATTACTATATAGTTATCATTTTGTGGTATTTCAGGAATGTCTAAAAGAACAAGAAGCTCTAATGACTCTTGAACAAACAGCAAGACAAAAAGTCATGGAGCTAAAATCTGTCATGGAAACTGAAAGAAATCAAGGGTCTGTTTTAAAAGCAATATTGCAAGCAAAATCTTCGAATTCAATCGAGGGTATTTATGGAAGAATGGGTGATTTGGGTGCTATTGATGGTAAGTTTATGTCAAAGTCAAACAACTAGACATGAGTCCATTTAGCTTTTATTTAAAACAAAAGTATCACGATTTTTCACATTGTAAAGGTCTATTATACCCCTGTTTATGACTTGGATTTTGTTTGCAGCAAAGTATGACGTGGCAGTTTCAACAGCATGTGCTGGACTTGATTATATTGTGGTGGAAACAACAGCTGCAGCACAAGCATGTGTGGACATGCTTCGTAAGAACAATCTTGGTGTTGCTACTTTCATGATATTGGTAAAAGATCCTTTTTTTTTTAATTTATTTTTTATTTTAATAAATCCTCATTTTAAAAAACAATGATTTAGGCGATTAGGTGATGATATATTCTTGCCTTAATAACAGGATTTCATTAGCTAGCTGCTAAGATTACACAAATTAGAGAAAAAATAAAGGGACAATAGTATTTTGGGTTAATCTAAAAAAAAAGACTGTATATTTTGTGTTTTTTTCTGGATTAAACCTCAAGTTTATTTTTTTGCCTGAAAAAGACCTTGTATTCTTTCATTCTTTTCCAAAAAAATGTAAAACGTGGCCCTTTTAGTCCTTTTTTTTGGGTTAATCTGTCCCTTTTAATCATTTTTTTCCAAAAAAATGTAAAATGTGAGGTTTTTTTTGAGAAAAACTAAAAAGCTTGAGGGTTTATTTGGAAGCATTTAGAAGGTTGAGGGTTTTTTTGCGGAAAAAAATACAAAGTTGAGGGCTTTTTCAAAAAATATGAAAAAATACAAGGCCTTTTTCAGGCAAAAAATAAATTTGAGGTTTAATCCGGAAAAAAACACAAAATATAAGGTCTTTTTTGAGATTAACCCTAATTTTTTTTTTACCAAAAATGAACCCCAAATTTCTTGATTTTAAATTTTGTATTACCCATTTTGATTGTTTTTATTCGACTTTTTTTAGCATACTTTATTGTTGTTTGTTTATACTTTGTAATATTTAATTTTTATGTTGATGCAGGAAAAACAAGGGAATCATATGTCTAGAATGAAGGAAAAAGTAAGCACCCCTGAGGGCGTTCCACGTCTTTTTGATCTCATCAAAGTGCAAGATGAAAGAATGAAACTTGCTTTTTATGCAGCAATGGGAAACACTGTTGTTGCCAAGGATATTGATCAGGTATTGTATTTATCCCATTAAATTTTCTTCAAAATAAAATAATTTAAAGATCCTTTAAATATTACTCTTGAATTTGATTCTTTAATCCTTCTTTTGGCTGTTTTTTCTTTCCATGATGGAATGGAATGATACATTACAGTTACATATTAATCTTTGGTAACAATAATACTTTATAAAATTTCAAAACTTTTGTTACTTTTTCTCTCTTTATTTTCCAAAATGTTTTTTTTTCAATTATAATTCCATTCCAAAATTTCATGGTATTCAATTTTGTATAATTTTTATACTTTAGCAAACTTTTTAGTATATACATTTCAAATGACATGAAATCCGTTGATCAAACTAGTTTTTGTATAACTAAAGTTCTGTTTCTTTTGTGATTCCATTCCATTCATTTGTAATTTCATTCCATTCCATTCATTTGTGATTCCATTCCAATGTTGTTTTTAGGCAACACGAATTGCATACGGAGGGAATCAAGAATTCCGGCGAGTTGTGACACTGGATGGAGCTCTGTTTGAGAAATCAGGGACAATGAGTGGTGGTGGAAACAAACCACGCGGGGGTAAAATGGGAACTTCCATCAGAGCCACCAGTGTCTCTGGTGAATCCTTTACTGAAGCTGAAAATGAACTCAATCAAATATCAGAAAAATTAAAAAACATAAGACAACAAATTTCTCAAGTTGTCAAAGAATACAAAGATTTGGAAAAACAAGCCACACGTTTAGAAATGGAGTTAGCCAAAAGCCAAAAAGAGGTAAAAAAATCATTATTAAACAATATTCATATATTTTCTTTTTGGATAATCACAAAAAATACCAAAATGGGTGGGTCCCATTAGCAAATTGACCACCTTTTTGATTTTTTTTAAAGAAATGGCCATCAAGTTTGCAACATGTGGATTGTAGTTTTTGGTATTATTATAATTCTCTTTTTTTTATATTTTATGGTCTTTAATTTTTTATAAGTTTGTATTTTTGACAAGTTTTCAAAGTGATTATGTCAAATAATTAACAAGAACCTTATAACATTGGATGATCTCATTAACAAATAGACCACTTTTTTGATTTTTTTAAGAAATGGCCATCAATTTTGCAACATGTGGATTGTAGTTTTATGTATTATTAGAATTCTATTTTAAGATTTCATTGTCTTTAGTTGTATATAGTTTTATATTTTTGATGAATTCTTCAAAGTGATAATGTCAAATATTTAACAAGAACCTTAAAAAATATATATTTTCAGTCAAAGAGCATTTTAAAATGATATTATTATTTTATTGAGGAAAAAAAAATCATATTTCACAATTATTTGCAAAACCTGTTCATACGTTACTAACTGATGATGTCATATCAATTATTTATTTATTTATTTTCCTGCAATCAAAGACACCTTAAAAAGATGTTAATTAAAAGATATATTTTTCAATAAAAAAACACCTTAAAATGATGTTATTTTTTTTATTGAGAAAAAATAATCATATTTCACAGTTATTTGCAAAAATTGTTCATATGTTACTAACTGATCATGTGATTTCACATTTTTTTTAGCAAAATGACATTATTTCGCAAAATACAAACAAGTTTGTTTGTAATACTTAGAAATATGATTTTTTTTTCCAATTTTTTAAATTTCTTTACACTCTTCTTTTCCAAAATGACATTATTTCACCAAAATGACATTATTTTGTGATAATAATCATGCTATTTTTTGACTTTCTGATTTTATATAATTGTTTATATATTTTAATGAAAAACAGATTGAGAGTTTGAATTCACAACATGAATATCTTGCAAATCAACTTGATTCCCTAAAGAATGCAGCTGAACCAAGTAAGGCTGAAATTGCTAGACTTGAAGAACTCAAGAAAATAATATCAGAAGAAGAAAAAGAGATCAATAGGTTGACTAAAGGGTCAAAACAGTTGAAGGAGAAGGTTGGGATTTTAATATTTTTTTTTCTATTTTATTATATCTCATTCTGTCAAATTATTATATAATATTTGTTTAACTGTATAAAGATTGATTATCTTTTTAGGTGTTGGAGCTTCAAGGCAAAATCGAGAATGCAGGGGGTGAAAAGTTGAAAAATCAGAAAGCAAAGGTTAACAAGATCCAAAATGTAAGTATAGGGTCAAAATGGTAATTTTTTAAATGTCAAAACAAGTTGAGTCTGGTTGACCAGTCAACACTTTTTTTTTCTTCTGTTTGTTTGGATAAAACAAACAGAAAGGGCAAAAAATGTCATTATAAAAAGTTTTGGACCAAAATTGCAACAAAATGAAAGTTTTGGACCAGTGGTGCAAGTCTAAAACTTTTAGGACCAAAGTGACAATTTTCAACAAACCATAGGGACCATTTTTGCAATTTTGTCATAATTAAAAGACTCAATTACAACTTTTGTTCTTGTGCTTCTTGAGAAGTTATGGATTTAAACCAAATGTTTTGATATTTTCATGGTTAGTCCCTGTAGTTTAGTTTCATTGCACTTTTGGTCCCTCACTTGGTTGGTGCTAAAAAGAGTTGTTAAGTTAGATTAAATTGACTATTTAGCCCCTGTCTTCATATCCAGAAGTTTGATTTTTTCTATTGTGTAAATTGTAGTTTCATTGCATTTTTGGTCCTTGGTTTCGATCCTTTTGACAAAAAGGGTTTGTTAAGTCCCAATTTAAATGACTATTTTGCCCTTCATCCAATTTTTTGAATAAAACATTTTAGGAGGTTGTAAACAATAGAGTATGTTATGTTATGAGTTTATTATAAACTGTTTGACTTGTTTTTTTTTTTTTTTTGTTCTTGTTAAGTCCAAGTTAAAAGACTATTTTGCCCTTCATCCATTTTTTTAAAGTACACACTGATGTTCTTGTTTTTGTTAGGACATTGATAAAAACAGCACAGAGATCAATCGACACAAAGTTCAAATAGAAACTGGGAACAAACTTATGAAAAAATTAACAAATGGGATTAAGGAATCAGAGAAAGAGATAGAAAAACTGAATGCACAAAAGGAAAATTTATTGACTTCTTTTAAAGAGATTGAAGAAAAAGCATTCAAGGTTCAAGATGATTATAAGAAGGACAGAAGAGGTCAGAGTTTTTACTTTTTACTTCTGCCCCGTTTAAAAAACTTTACCATTTGAGTTCATTTTTTTATTAAAATTTTGAGTTTTGTTTGTGTAGCTTATGAACAAACAAGGATTCACTTGGAAAAGCAAAATCTGATTATGAAACCTGAAAAAGACTGTTGATGAGTTGAGGGCATCTGAGGTATTTTAACTATTTACACTCTCTCTCTCTCTCTCTCTCTATATATATATATATATATATATATATATACCCTTTTGGGGAAATAAATAAATACAATGCATTTAAGGCTATTAAAGAGTTGTACTTTTGAAAAATATCTAGATGGATTTTTCAAAGTATAATGTCTTTATTATAATATTTTAAGTACAATGCTATTTATCATTAGGTAGAATTTTCAAAGTGCAATTCCTTAATGAGAAAAAAAACATACAAAATACAATACTGTAGTAAAAGATCACATAAATACCTTATATTTTGTGTTTTTTTCCGGATTAAACCTCAAATTTTTTTTCCTGAAAAGACCTACTATTTTTTCATTTTTTTCCAAAAAAACCATCAACTTTCTATTTTTCTCCGAAAAAATTCTCAACCTTCTAAATGTTTCTGAATAAACCCTCAACTTTTTTAGTTTTTCTCAAAAAAACCCTCACATTTTACAATTTTTTTTGGGTTTAATCTCAAAAAAGATCTTGAATTGTGTTTTTTCCAGATTAAACCTCAATTCTATTTTTTGCCTGAAAAAGACATTGTAGTTTTATTTTTATTTTTTTCCGATCTAGCCCTTTTAGTCATTTTTTTTAGAAAAAAATTGTAAAATGTGTGTTTATTCAAGAAAAACTAAAAAAGTTGAGGGTTTATTCGGAAACATTTAGAAGGTTGAGGTTTTTTCTTTTTTGGAGAAAAATACAAAGTTGAGTTTTTTTTTTGGAAAAATGAAAAAGAGTAAATTACACGAATGGTCCCTATGGTTTGGGGTAATTTGCACGTTTGGTCCCTAACTTATTTTTTTTAACTCAGAAGGTCCCTACTGTTTTTTTTCTTGCACGCTTGGTCCCTGTCTTACCTAAAAAAACTATTTTGCCCTTGATTTTTTAATTTGTTTAAATAAACACACCCCAACCCAAACCCCACCTCACCTTACCTTACCTACCCCACCTTATTTAAATAAATAAAAAATCAATGGCAAAATAGTCTTTTTAGGTAAGACAGGGACCAAGCGCACAACAAAAACAAATTGTAGGGACCTTTCGAGTTAAAAAATAAGTTAGGGACCAAACGTGCAAATTACCCCAAACCATAAGGACCATTTGTGTAAGTTACTCAATGAAAAAAATACTAGGTCTTTTTCAGACAAAAAACAAATTTGAGATTTAATCCGAAAAAAACACAAAGATAAGGTCTTTTATGATATTAACCCTAGAAAGAATGGAAGTAGAAAGCTATAAATTATAAATTAAATAAACACATATATGAAAGATCTTGTATTTATCTCTAATGTGACTAAAAACAGGTGGATGCTGATTTTAAATTACAAGACATGAAAAAAATGATAAAAGAATTGGAAATGAAAGAAAAAGGATACAAGAAAAAGCTCGAGGAGTTACACACCTCTCTTTCAAAGCATATAGAACAGTGAGTTTCATATTTACTTCAATATTATAGTATCTTTCAACATCTTATTCCAAAAAACAAAACTTTTAATATTTTTCTTTTTTGTTTTTTAACAGAATTAAAAAGATTTAGTCGATCCAGAAAAGCTTCAATCCACACTTGGAGAAAACGAATCATTTGCCAAAGCCTCTGACCTTAAAAAGTCTTTAGAAATGGTGGCATTACTTGAAGCACAAATGAAAGAGATGAACCCTAATCTGATTCCATTGCTGAGTAAGAAATTCCGTTTTTTTTAATTTCATTAATAATTTATTTTTCTTAATCGTTAATTTCAATTTTTAAATTCACAGATATCGTAATAAGTATCTGTATACAATGAACGAGTCGAAGAGCGTAATTTAGTAACAAACGAACGCGATGAGACAAAAAACAATACGATGATGGCGAAAGAAAAGGTATATAGTTTTGTAGTGGAATTACTAAAATACCCCTGTGTACCTTTTTAAGTAATGCCAATTTGCTTTCTGTCTTTTCAGGTTAGATGAGTTCATGGAAGGGTTCACAACCTATTTCACTTAAACTAAAGGAAATGTATCAGGTTTGTTAAACATATAATATATAAAAAAAGATACAAATCACAATATTTAATTAAAATAATAAATTTTTGTAATTTTTTTTGTAGATGATTACTCTTGGAGGTGATGCAGAGCTTGAATTAGTGGATTCTTTAGATCCTTTCTCAGAAGGTGTGGTGTTTAGTTTAGACCCCCGAAAAAAAGTTGGAAAAATATCGCTAATTTATCAGGGGAGAAAAGGTAAATACTATATTATAAAAATTCTTTTTTTTCATTATTATATTTTGTGACATGTTATAAAAATATTTTTTACAGACTTTGAGTTCACTAGCTCTTGTGTTTGCACTACATCATTACAAGCCAACACCTCTTTATGTTATGGATGAAATCGATGCTGCGTTAGGTAATTTTTCTTCATTTTAATTATTTAATGAATTTATATTTATTTTATTTTATATTACTTATATTTAATTTACTCTAATTTGTGGTGATAGATTTTAAGAATGTTTCATTGTGGGGCATTACGTTAAGGATCGAACCAAGGATGCACAAGTTTTGTTATCATCAGGTAATTATGATACTTTTTTTTATTGTTATTTTAATAAATACATGTTCATTTGTATTGATTTGGATTTTTATTTTTATTAATTTGTAGTTTGAGAAATAACATGTTTGAGTTGGCTGATCGACTTGTGGGGATTTACAAAACTGATAATTGCACAAAGAGCATAACGATAAATCCGGGGAGTTTTGTGGTTCATGGAAAGGATTAATTAAACTCTGTTTCACTATTTGCAAACTTATAATAATTTTATGATGTGTTATATATATATATATATATATATATATATATAATATATATAATATATATATATATAATATATATATATATTGTAAAGACACGTTAGAATAGTAGTAGTAGTATATCTTTCTAGGTTAACTTTTGAATATCCATGTGTTATTGTAAACACATATACAATGATGAAGGCAATGTGTGCTTGATTGCATTTATTTAGTTTGTCAGGTGAAATATCTATATATTACATGAGTTTATATTAAAAAAATAAAAATAATATCAAATTCTAAACATCAAGCAATTATTAAAGTAATATTTTTACATATAAGCAAAGACTTTGTTGATTAAGTATGTAAGGAACCCAAACTATAAAAATTAGTAATTAATATATTTTAAATATTGTTAAAATTACAAATTGTTAAAATACTTCTTGACTACAACATTAGATGTTTTATTGTTAAGTAACTTTTTAAGTGTTTTAACATTCATCTTTTCAATATATTTTTGCTTTTAATTCTGGACAATACAAACTCATAAGTAAACAGTGGTTGTCTAAAAAACAAACCAACTTTTGATAGCCAATGTTTTTTGACTTGTGTTTATTGTCATCGCAAACATACAACAAGTGGAAATTGTCTTCTCTGAAAGGGTAAAGGAATCATTTTTATCCGAAAGGGTTAGTGGCATTTTTTGTAATAAACATAACGACTTCATATATTACTTTTTTAGAAATTATCTCTCCTTCTATAACATGGTTACCCAATGCTAGACGTGTAGCCTTGTCCATTACACAAACCGTATTTCTGATTAATATTTCTCAATAACATAACTGGAACACTGACTTTTAATACCAATTATGAATTGGTAAACCTGAAGGTTTAAGTCCATTTAAATATCAGGCGAATATAAAGATTCGTCAAAGTCATCGTGTACAAAATCCGAATGACAAAGACTATCTGAACTTAATATTCTTTTTTCATCTCCAGGAATAATGATAACAAACGATTGTTTATGTCTTGAACTACTTCATATTTCGGTGCAAGGATTGCTCTTTCAAGAAAAAATATCGGATTATTGGCATTTTCAAAATAGAAGGATAGACAAAATGCAATTAATGAACCAATAGGATCCGATGAATCAGTAATGAGAATATCATCTGGTATATCAATAATTGCCCGCTCGCCATTGTTTTTAAAAACAACCAACCTTTCCTTCTCCTATATCCAAAAGCCATTTTGCAAAGGTGGTTGTTTCTTCAATATTGTTTGAAGACTTAACCTCATGTTTTTTTTGTTAATCTTAAGACTTTTGCAATTTGACCAACGATATGAGGAAGATATTGAATCATTCACGATGTCCTTGTCTACTTCTGTTAGAACATCAGGTAGAATCTGTCTGAATGCACCCCAAAAAAATTACTTTTACTCCAATGGCAATTTTGGAGTTGCTACGAAAAATCACAACTCAATATATCCTTCAAAGATCTATCCAAAGCCTCAAAGGCATGCTTGTGAATCATGGGTGCCTCGTCCCATATAATCAATGATGTTTTTTTAACAGTTCGACAACATCACTTTTGGGCGTTATAAACAAAACGAATCCTCGGTAAGATTTAAAGGGATTATAAACAGGGAGTGTGCTGTCCTACCTCCTATCAATAATAATGAAGCAATACCACTTGAAGCAACATTTAACACATTTTAACCCTCCGTCTTAAAGCACTAGATACTGTTTTTCAAAGAACGTTTTCCCCCGATACATCCGTAACTGTAAACAAAAAAAACACCATCCTTTCTTTGCTTAACATTTGTAATAATATCGTCAAAAACACCCTTTATCAATTGTTAATGAACAAGTAGCTGATGAAACTCTTTCAAATAGAGTCGTCTTCCAAAATCTAGCTCCTCAGTAATCAATCGATTATCTGAAAAGATACAACGCGTGATAGGGTAAGGCATTCCATCAAAATCTTGAGGCTTGAATTGTTAGTGGAGTCAAAAATTTTTTCAATCTCATAAAACGTCAAGTTCTTAACTTGATCCTCAGAAAGCGATGAACATGTACAAATATGGAAGTTACTTTTTTAGAGATAAATATATAAAATTAAAACGTATGATATAATAATAAAGCTTAATAAATTTTATTAATATATAAAAAATATAAATAATTTTTATTGAATAATGACAATGTATTTGTAAGAATTTTAAGTAAAATCTTAATTTAAATAATGAAAAATAACA